CTCGGTGGGAGGCCTGCTTCTCCCTCTCCCACTCCCCCTGCTTGTGTTCCCTCTCTCGCTGGGTCTCTCTCTGTCAAATAAATAAATAAAATCTTCAAAAAACAGTAAAAATAAATCAGGGATACCTTCACAGAAGATGCATAGTGTGAAGCAGAAAAAAGTAGACCATACATGAGGAGTTGACACAGTTGGTTGAATCCTAAAGCCAGGCCTCTCCTGCTGACTCTACAGACACTTAGAACTGAACTCTGCAGAGAACCCATGAACTCAGCATACCTATTCATGTCCTTACCATCTTTGCCATCTCAGAGAACAAGGCAACCTATGGGTGATTTTTACAATCAGCATAATTCAAGGATGAAATAATGAAGGTCTTAGATGAGGGAGGCAACAGAAAGGGATGATCTGTGAGTGCTATTTTTGAAAATACACAGGACTTGATGAACAATGAGCTAAAGATAAGGAAACCAAAATGACTCAGTGATTACCCTCCTGGAAGTCTGATACCACTACAGAAAATAAGAAAGCTGAGAAGTGTAGCTCATTTAGAGAACAAAGAGAAGTTTGGGGTTAAACACAAATAATCTAAGGCAAGATCTTAACTGATGATCCCAAAGGCATGGAATTAGAATTCAAGCAAAGTTTACTTTAAAAAACTATTAAGAGCTGGAGATATAAATTTGAGAGCAATCCTATAAGCCAAAATCCCTTCACAGAGGAAGGATAGAAAAAGAAGAGACACAGAATAAAAAGATAAAAGAATGGGTACCTTGGGGAATACTCACAGACAGAAAACAGGAAAAAGAAAAGCTCTTAGAGTAAACAGAGAATAGTTAGGAAGACAGGAAAAAAAACAAAGAAGTTCAGTGCCTCTCAAATCAACAGAAGTTCCACTGTCAAAAATAACCAGTATTAAAAATAATAGCACTAATTATTTATAATCCCCACAAGAGCCCTTCATATTAGGTATTAGCTACATTTAACAAATGGGGAAACTAGGCAAGAGAAGTGAACTTTCCCAAGGTTAAATAGCTAGTAAGTGACATGAGCCAAATGAAACCCAAATCTGTCAATTCAAAACAAACCTACTAGCCCAACGGCTTGATTTTTAAAAAAACTGTAGCCTACTCACTATGGATAAACCAAGGCAGCACAGGCTTACAGTAAATAAGCAAGACAATGCAGGGTTTCAAAAGAAATATAGAGTAAAAAAAAAAGTAACAAAGCCACTCATTCCTAAAGTTTTGTAGTAAAAGAATTAGAGAAGCAAAATGGTAAATGATCAGAGCAACACATCAAAATGTTTAAGATGGAGATCTGTATTCACTGAAGCGAGATGGGAAAGATCAAGGACAGAGACAGAAAAACAGAGAGGCAGAGGGCAGGTGTACAAATAAGCTTAAAAGAGAAAGTAAGCACTTCCTCTAAGAAAAAAGAAGATGAGATTCCACAGCTTATGAGAAAACCAGGGCATGGTGATTATCCTCTGTGAATAGGGAAGAGTGGGCTAGATCAGGTCTTGAGGACAGACAAGTATAAATGTTCCAAGGTTAAATTAAAATAATCTAATTGAAGACTGAAAGGATTTGTAGAGAATCAGAATTACAGTATTTTATTTCCTTCTTATGACCTAAGGGACAGCTATTCTAAAAGGTCCCTCGATTCAGGGTGGGGACAAAGACTGACAGAATCAAGAAGGGTTGACGAATTACTATTAACAAATTAAAGTAGGTCATTAACATGGATGTTGAATTCACTTAGGATGATAACATAGGCCAGTACGGAAAGGAAATCTTCAAAGAAAGTGAAATACATCCTGTAATATACTGATGATTTGGAAAGGATAATCAAATCATGGATATTGACAAAGACTGAGAGGCAGATGGGTAAGGTGGTAAATTAATAAGACTGAAGAGTAGGAAAGGACTAATTCCTTTTAGCCTCACTGAGAAGCTCTTAAAAGGACAAGACTACAGAATATTTTGATGTGAGAGAGCTGCATTTTAAGGCAGAAAATGCAAAAAAAAAAAAAAAGGAGCAACAAAACTTTTCAGGATAGAGAAACATATTTACAACAGAAAATGGAAATCATGGAGAGAACAATATTCATCTGGATGGGACCATTCATCTGGATGGAACTAAGCCACATAAGGGAGAGAGGAGTGGTAGGAGCAAGAGGGAAGAGAGCAAGAAAGATAGTGCCAGAAATGGCAGATAAGGATTCACAGTGCAGATTAAAACTGGAGTCATGTTCATGTAGGTGGTGGTGGGGACTGGAACAGAATAACCTTAGGACTCAGGACATAAAACTTTTAAAAATATAGCAAATATAATAAAATATAATTCATTTGAGTGGAAAACATTAATTCCCAAAGTATCAAAAAGTGTCTCCATGCTGTTTCCTGCCCAAGTAACTCTATTACTTAATTTCCACCAATTTCTATTCAGTGACAATTTATTCTAGAGCAAAACAAATACGGCAACAAGTCCAGAGAAGACCTGGATTTAGTAGTACTGTTGAACAGAATTGATACGTTGCTATAGGAGGATTAACTGAATTGCTATTCAGAAATGGGTAGTGATCACTGTCCTGAACCCATCTGCTCATTGTTTCTGATAAACAAAATCATTCATTTAAAAAAAGAAAATGCAAAAACATGAGAATACAAAAAAATGATGTACTGATTTATAAACAATATACGTAAATACACAAACTGCCAGTACAGCAAAGATTATTCAAAGTACCTACATCAACCAGGAGATCTGGGTCTATGCTAAACTGTCTTCCTGACAGCATGGCTTGGAAGTCCTCTAAGCTGCAATCAATACTGTCAAGATAATCCAAGAGCTCAACCCTGAGGAAAATAAGATTAAAAAAATATATCAAATATTAGGTTTCCTTGTTTTTACATTTAAAATCACATTACAAAATTCTTAACCTTAAGAGATCCTATTCAGTATTTGAGATTCCTGAAAATGTGGTTAACTGAGAACTCACAGCCTTTATACAAAACTTTAGTATTTATAGAAAATAGATTCTGCAACACGGTCTGATTTATCTTTTCTCCTCTACACTATAAATTATAAAATGTTTAACTTATTACTGATTAATGCTACTAATTTCTGGTTTCCTTATCCTATAAAGTCCCTTAATGGAGATTATGTTATTCCACAGTCCTGATAAAAACACAAAATACACATACACACACGCTTTATGGACATTTAAAACAAGTATCTCATTAAAGAAATCTAAGGAATTGCCAAGAAAATCTCAAGAATGCTCCTGGGATGATTAAATCCTTCTCAAAAAAACATTTGCAGAGCTCAGCCCTGACCAAAAGAAAGATAGATTACATGGGTTCATAACTTGAAAGGAAGATCATTCAAAGAGAACAGAACATGTGAAGTAAACAAAGAAAGCAAATAAACTCAGATAACATCTACATGAGCACTCACTTTCCCAGAAGATTGATGTTATCATTTAAAATGGAATCCATCATGGTCACAGGATCTTCTGTGGTCAGACTAGATGAGCCATTTAGCTGGACAGCACTAGACATAAGAGGACTGGTGCCATCACTGCCTGAACTTAGGGATTCTCTGGCTGGTTCATTCTGATCTCCACTCTGAATGACAGGTGCATACTCATCTTCATTGTCATCTTCAACAATGACAATATCAGGGTACTGGCTACAGCTAAATCAGCAATGTGAGAAAGAACCAATTACATTTTCAAATGCATTCAATAAATTCATTCTGTCCATTCATTCTCCATGGAAGCTTTCTCCCCAAAACGCATATTAAAAGGCTTAAATTTCCTTGGGTGAGTAGCTTAACCACAAATATTGATTCATCCTGTGATACGAGACCACAAAGGATGAATTAAAGATGTTTAACTCCAAAATTAAAAAATCAGAATTCTCATTACTTTTTGTTGGAAGTCTTTTTGCTGGAGAACATCTGGTTAAATAATTTGGCTTTTTCAGTTTAATAATCCAAATATGAGTTACAGAGTAGTTTATCATACAGTGAAGTGGTTTTGAACTTAGCTCTTTGATAACAAAAGTAACCAATATTTTCACAAATTTTACTTCATAATTTCCTTACTTGGAGGGATCAGATATAACATCCTCATTAGTTTCTGGAATAACTGGGATATTTTCTTCATCTGCGTTATCATCAGTTACATCATAAATAATGATGTCATCTGAAATCCGCTCCCTTGCCTTTAAACCTTCAGTCCTACTGTGTGGAACCTAAAAAAATCAGAGAAAAAAATATATCAAAAATTGAAATTATATTGACTACCAAACAATATACCATTTAAAAAGTGCTAATTGGAGACCCATTGTTTACTAAATGTTAAGGAAACAATTTAGCTATGTGCTCTGCCCTAACAGGACTCACAGTAATTGGTATTCATATCAATTCACAAAGGTATGAGGTGTGTTGCTTTATTCTACTTAACTACTTCTTTTACTGTAAGGAATCTTGAAGGTGGCATGCCTCAGAATGATTCCATGGAAAGATCTTCACATTTTAAAGTATTTTTTATATCCAAAGGGTTAAAAAAAAAAAGTCTTAAAACTTCACCAGGAATTTCAAGCATAACCAGATGGCCACTGTGCTGATGAGAATAAACCGTATGTCAAATAGTGAAGCTACTCTATTTGACATATGGTTTATTCTTTCTTATTAAATGCTTTCATTAATAGGAAATGCTTTCATTAATAGAAAAAAAAACCATTACAAGTATTCCACAGTTAAAAGTCAGCCTGAATTTTTAGCAATAATTTTTTTTATTCTGCTACAGATATATTCAGATCATAGGTACCTAAATAAAAAAATATTCAATTCGCTGAAGCAAATTAAACTATTATAATGCAAAAATCCATAAATCTCAACAGTAGATAAATCTGAGGTAAAATATGTAAAGGACTTAAAAATATATAAATCCAGTTAAATTAAGAAATCTTCACCCATTTACATTGAGTCTTCAATCCTAAAAACACAATAGTTAGGTAAGCTTACTTAGAAACAGTAGTGGGAAGAAAAACCTGATGTTAACTCTGATTTGCTCAAGAAAAAAAATCTTGGTACTTTAATAACAAATCTGAAGCAGTATTTGGAATGTAGCAATGACAATCATCTATTAAAAGAAGTATAGACTCTGGACTGAACTGATTTGCCAACTGTGTAAGTTTGACAAATGATCCAGAGAGTCCACGACAAAAATAAAGGTAAACAAAAATGTTTTGCAACTGCTAAAAAGTCTAAGTCTACGCAGTTTATAATAAAAGTTGGAAACAACTTAAAATAACCAATGGAAAAATGTGTAATTACATTATCATAATATTCAATTGATATCAGGTAGTAGTTCAGATGATCTAAATCTGTTTAAATCTCAAAAGCAAAACCAAATGAAAAAGTCACAATGCAAAATGATATCACTTATATGAAGTTTGAGATACACAGAAAACAATACCAAATACTGTTCATGAATTCATACATATAAAATGACCATGGGGATGATAAATACTAATTCAAGATAATGATTATCTAGGAAAGACTGAAGAGGAGGCAAAAAACAAACTTGGGAACAGGCAACTAAAACAATTATATTTGTAATAGTTTATTTCTTAAAATAATCTAAAGCAAATAATAAAATGTCATGATTAGATAAAACTGGAGCATGAGCACTTAGATTATTATTCACTGAACTTTGAATGCAAATTTTGAATGCATGAAATACTGCATACTGTAATAAAAACTGGTTTGAGATAACAAATATAAAATAGAATTTAAACAAAAAATTACTTTATGATGGTGATTATCAGCTGGTTCTTTGACTATATGCTGAAACAGATTCTTCTTTTGGGCTCCATTAGTGTTTAGAAGTAGAGGCCTGAAAATCAGAATATATTCATGAAATTCAGTGAAGCAAACATATAAGAAATTTCAACTGCTTCTAATATTTTACCCTCCCACGAACATACACACTTTAATAATAAAAGATTTCAGTTAGTGATACACAATGAACTCTTAAAAATGGTCACATCTTAGGAACAGAAACTAGGAGTTGACTGTGTCTAGGGCTTTGATTTCACCATTCTTTTGTACTATTTTTGTTAAAATAAATACAATAAACTACTCTCTCTGGATATACTTCACTGCTGACTGAACTGTATCACTCTTTATGAACTGTACTTACATAGTAAAAAGTAAGTAGATGATATAAGAACTAGTTTGTGGAAGCTGACTTAAGGCCATAGCATAAGGTGTAACCATAACCAAGCTTTGCTACAACTTTAGTCTTACAAGATAAGTTTTTTCTCCCTCCAACTATTCCTTTGTCCACTATCCTTCTTAAGCTTTAGTTGTGACAATGGCAGTTACTAACACTTTCCGGTATCACAAGCCATAGTCAATAGATAGGTTTTTAAATTCCTTATTAGTGGATTAAACATGAGAGATCAAGTAAAAAGTTTGATTTTTTTTCAATATATGACCTTCTTTTAAGAGTTTCCCTCACACAAGCCTTCTAATGTTACATTAAACTGCTATTGTGAATAAAAATGGATTCCTTATTAACTATGTATGTGTCTGTAAAGTGACCATTTAGGCTATCCTTGTCTCTGAAAAACATTAGCAGGATGACAGCAGGAAGAAATAACACTACTTTTGAAATGCTGAGAGTATAATTTAACAAGGAAGGACTGTTCATCTGGGACAACAGACATACTAAGCAAATGTAGGCCATGCATGGTTAAACACTAAAATGTTTAGTTGTCCATGAATAGGTCAAACGAAGTGTTTTACAACAAAAACTTACCTTTTACGTTTTAAACTCACAAGTTGGTTATTCTGAACCAATGTAACAATAAACTGGACAATCTAAAAGGAAAATATAAACAAAAAATTTTCCATCATAGACTCCTCTAATTCTTTAGTCCATATTACAAGTCTTATAAAATTAATTCAAATACTACATATTTTCTATTCTAAGTCACATAATTTCTCACACGTTAACAAATTTGCAATCTCGGTGCATCTTACAATTGTTATATAAAGAAATAATCAGTTTCCAGGCAGAAGAATAACCTGTCATAAAATAAAAGTTGCAGCTACCTAGGATACTAAGATGCCTAAGACATTCATCTATCCATCCACCCACCCATCCATATATCTACCCAATACTCAGCTCAGTTACTTGTTTTGATGCTAAGAATCAAGCATGCCCGGATACAGATCCCAAGTATGTACCAAAAAGAAAAAAAAAAAGTGACAGGCAACATTTTTCTTAACCCAGGTAATACAATTTGAGGCAAAAGAGACTGCCAGCTCTTTCAGAAGAGAGCATAAAATTTTCAAGCTAGGAAAAGCTTCTTGGCTTATTCTAGAAAAATCATTGCTTAATAAAAATACTGTCATGGGTGGCTCAGTTGGTTAAACATCTGCCTTCAGCTCAGGTCATGATCCCAGGATCCTAGGATCGAGTCCACATTGGGCTCCTTGCTCAGCGGAGAGTCTGCCTCTGCCCCTCCCCCCGGCTCACTCTCTCTCCCTGTCTCTCTGACAAATAAATAAAAGTTTTAAAAAAGAATATTGTCATGAAATATTTAATTATACAGCAACAGAAATAAACCCCAAAATATAGTAACTAGAGGTTATCCAAAAATAAATTCACAATTTTAAAGTTAGAATACATATACTTTTTTCAAATAAACAATGAATAGATTTTGTTTTGGATGGTTTTGCTCTTAAACATCCAAGATACCCATGCGGCCAATCAAGAGAAGCTGGTTTAATCTTCAGAGCTGGATTAAATTTAAAAGGAAAGAACTACTAAGCCAATCAAGACATGCAAACAATCTTTCATATTTTATGTGTTTCATATTAAGTGTTTCTTAAAGTGTGGTCCATGGACCAGCAGTATTAGCCCAGGAACATATTAGACACACAAATTCTCAACCCCACTCTGGAATTGCTGAATCTGAAATTCTGAGGACAGGGTCCAGCAATGTATGTTTAGCAAGTCCTCCAGGTGATATTGATGTGAATGTGAGAATCACTGGCTTAGGGTATGCCTTGAAATTTATTGTCATCTTTCTGAAGAAGCTAAAAAGGTGAGGATCATATGGTGAACTATGAAAAGCAGTATATCACTGAGAAGCTATAAATAAAGACCAAAAGGGACTGGAGGACTATTTAGGCTCTTTGCAGAAAAGTCAAACAGCATTAGAGTCATGAAAAGGAAATTAGCCACTAAACTGTTTATTCAAAAGAAAACGTTGACTGACGGCTGATGAAAAGACAAATTTAAGCGTAAAGGTATCTATGAAATAATTTGGCTTCAGTTACTTTTGTTAATTTATAAATGTTACAGAAAAATTCTAAAAACATTAGTGGTTGAATTTATAAGAACATGAAGCACTGGCTAAATTTCTCCTGAAATTTGTTCTACATATTAGTTCTCTTATGACAATTCTGCATCACGCTGTACAAAGCTTCCTTCCTGAAGGAAAAGATAAGACCTCTAACATTTATGGCGTCTAACTTCTGGACCTGACAAGTTCTATTAACAGGTACTATTATCCTATCCTGTAACAAGTACCGATACTAGGTAACTCACATACACTATTCTAACTAATCCAAGGCCAAGGAGTAAAATGACAGATGTATGAAGCAATTCCAGGAATAGAGAAAAGATTATCAGCTATCACTATGCATTATAAAAATCCCTAGAGCTCCACCAAACCACATATATTCAAACTCAAATCTGAACAGACAGAATGCTGGCTTTCATGAAAAACTGAAATGTTATATAAGTATTTTACCAACTTTTTTTGCTTTTAGGAAAAAAATTATATAGTATTATAAGTCAATATTTAACTATAAAACATTGTTTTCTGGAAAAGTTGAGAAGACTTTTTTAAAATAAAGTATAGGTTTAATAAAGTACACCTATCGTTTTAAATCAGGTATTCTTAACAGGGCTGCATGCTAGAATCAGCTCTGGAAGTTGTGAAAATATATGCACTTGGACTAAACACTTAGAACTGAATTCTACATTCAACCTTCACTTGCATACTGATTTGAAAAGGAAAAAAAAAAAAAACAGTATATCTATTTTGACTACAGGCCAAAGACTGCAACCATTCATCTCTGTTCTAAGCCTGCTCCACTAGACCCAGATCCTGTCATAACCCTATTTTTAGCTAAAGGCATCTCAGCACAAACCAAGTGAAGTACTCCCACCCTTCCTCCCCCCACAAAAACCTGTTGCTTAAACTTAAGAGTCTAGTTTACTCATGAGCAAAAAATAGCTGCCTTAATTACTTTTATGTTTCAAGTCTTATTAACATATGACAGCTGATATGAAAAGACTAAATCACAAGGACACAAGGCAACTGAGAGATTTTCAGTTCCCCCAGTAATTTTCAGCTCAGATACTAAAATCTACAATTTATTTTACAACACACTACTTTAACTGCTTTTCCGTAGAGACTAATAATGGCATACACTGATAACTAATTTTTTTGAACTCATAATTTGGTCAACTGATTTGAAAATTTTAGTCATTTGTCTTCCAAGACCATATCTATGCCTTTTCAAGTAAAAAAAAAAATAGTAAATAACAACAAACCCACACAGTAAGGCTGTCATTCATAGTAAAAAATGTAAAGAAACTGGTAGTTTTCTTTCTATTATGTTCCTAAAAATAAAGCATCTTTAAAGTTGTTGTATCAGGCTAAAGGTCACTTACTAAAAGCTAATGAGACTCAAGCTGAGAGCACGGAATAACAATATTTAGCTAATGAGAAATGTTTCTTATTAAAAAGAAAATACAACGGTTGACCTAATTTGTTTGATTTCATAGTTTCACTACTATATGTGAACCTAATATCTAATATATAATAGCTCAATCACTATTCAACAGAGGCTTTTTTGGGTCACAAATGGTACACAAATTAAACTAAGGCAGATTATGGTCATGGGGGAAAAAAGCTTACCTTTCGAATAACTTGTTGCTGTTGTGCGTGTTTTGCTCGTAATTCTGACACCTCCTTCCATAGAGACTCATTCTCACTATGTTATCATTTTTTAAAAAACAAAATAAAATTTAGTCAGAAAGCCAGACCTCAATAACTTTAATTAAGAATACCAGGGAACTTTGCTATGTATTTTCATGAAACTGGAAAAACTCTGGTTCAATTACATAAAATGACAACTATCTTGATACAACTCCAGAATCATCCCTTCATAACTACAGTACTTTCTACTCATGGCAATATAAACACAAAAATGTAAAACTCATGCCTATATCCATAGAGTAGCAGGCAATTTACTTCTCTGACAATGTGGTTCATTACTTCTTGTTTAAAAAATAAACACCTTTCAACTATGGCTACCAAGTAAATTTAGGACTTGCGCTTAGAAAAGAATTCTTAAAGGAAGTGACATTTACCCAGCACTACCTATGCTCCAGGGATTATGCTAAGCATTTTATGTGTATTTCTTATTTAAACTTCTATAAAATCAGTCAAGAAAGGAATTATTTATTTTATAGAGGAGGACAATGAGACCCAAGAATTGAGAGGACTTGCCTAAAATCACACGGATTATTTGTAGTAAGTGTTGAAGTCGATCTAAAAGTCAATCAGGTCCTAAAACTGTCTATCTTAAAATCTGTTTCAAACATACGAAAACACTAAAAAAAGTTTTTTAAAGCATGTCTAAATATATGACAAACCAATAACTTGCCTAGTAATAAGTTTCTTTTCCTTCATTAACTTTTATTGAAATTGCACTGTTCTGTTATTAAATGTTAGCAGCAACGATAACACTGAGAAGGCATGAAAGATAATTCACCTATTAAATACTTTAATTTTTGCTCTTGTTAATTTCCATAATATCCATCTTCCTCAAGTCAAACTCTTACAAAAGGGACTTCTGTATCTTACATATAGAAGATCTTGAAAATAAAACTTTAATACTTACTGAATAACTAGGGTATTTTCTCTGACTCAGATATTGAAAGATAATACTATCATCTGCCTACTAAACATTAAGTAGAATGGTTACCTCTAAAACTTACAGGATGAATCTGGGATCCCATTCCTTAAGGGCTAAACCTGAGATTCAAGGAATTGGGTCAAAGGGCACCTCAGGAGACACAAGATACATACAATAAACTGGCATAAGTGATTACATAAAATATGCAAAATGGGACAGCTTAAAATTAAGCCTTATTCAAAAAGGGAATCAAAGTTCAAGGTTACTCTTTTAATGAAGACACTTAAGACAGCTAAACTAATGTCCCACATTTGAAATGGGAGAGAGAATCCATAAAATAACTACTCTCAAGACCTCAGCCCCTATTAGGATAAGAGAAAATCCCAACTACTTACTAAGAAAAGTACACATCTACTCTGTATACAAGTTGTTACTGTCTCAACTAATGGTGCCGAGAACTGCAATAAAGCAAAAGCATGTTTCTGTAATAAAAGTTTTGAATAACACTTTACCACATCTAGGTAAGATAAATACCAAGTAAGGCAAGTCTCTTGCATCCTTTTTCCCTATTTTTTATGTCCTATTTTTTCCTAAGAGATAGGCCACATAGAAAAGTTTTATGAAACCACCATAAAGAATATGAGTAACATATGTAGTGTTTTTTAATGGCTTGTATGCCCTCATGTGTGTGAACATCGTATGAAAGCTAACCTAAGTAGAATCGTATTTTCTACATTGATTTAAAGATCTATTGTTTCATCAGTGGGACTTGTGCATCAAACTGTTTTAACTGCCCAGATTTATAAATTCTTTTGAATACTGTCAAGAAAATATAATACTGAGCTAAAGTCAAGGGCTACAAATCAAAACTAAAGGGAACCAATACTTAGAGAAAAATGACCTTTTACCATGGCTTCAACAATGTAATCTAAGTACTTAAAGCACTAACCTTCAACCCCCAACACACACATACCAACCCCTATATTAAGATTATATTTGGAAATAATATTTTACCTTTTTAATTCAGAAAGCCTGGACTCAATAGTTTCTTGTTTTATTTGAACCTTCTGAGCACTACTTATAATTTTTGTTAAATCTTCCTGACGAATCTTATTTTCTTCTGGTTTTGAAGATGAAACCTTTTGAAAGCAAATTTAGGAAATCAAATACTAAACACCAAGTTTTTAATTCAAAATTTCCCTATTGTGTTTTGTAGCCCATTCAGGAACTCAGATTTAGTTCCAAAAAGCCTAGGACAGGATTCTATAAAAAGAATAAACTTCAAGACAGAATAAGAAATAATCTTTTTTTTTTTTTTTAATGTGGAGAAGTTTCCACAAGCAGGAACAACATAGGGACTTTTTTTCATTCTCTTTCACCAAACTCACTGTAATTTCCCCAAGCCTCTTTATTATCACATTCCACGTTTAATTAAATTTATGCAGCTACAGCTGCACACTAGGCCGTTTTCTTTCATGGCCCATTACTCTTTTATCCCCTTTTTGTGGATTTAGTAAAAATATTTTATTTCAGCAAAAGATACCATTCATTAAAAAATGTATTATTAAATGCTTACTATATACAAGGGACTTATTCTCAGTATCGGATATTCAGCAGTGAACTACAGAAAAAGCCCTCCAAGGGAGTCAACATTCTAACAGGAGCTAGTATTTTTTAAGCTAAATTGGAAGGAGTGAGCCATCCCAATATGGATGATTCCTCACCCTCAGTCAGAATGTAAACATTTTCCTTCCCTCTAGGAAAGAAAAAATATAAAATAGAAGGAAATAATTAAAGCTTTATTAGTCTAAGTCATCCCAACAGGGAATACCTGTGTATTTCTGTACATTCTTAATTTCAACAGGTGAAATATTGTGTTGGCCAAGTATGCTATATGGTAATGCCTTAAATAAATCACATTAATAATAGCTCACCTTCCTTTTAATGTTCTCCAACAAGTCATCCTGGCCTTGTTTGAAGTAAGGATGCTGAAATTCAACAGGACCATCTCGTTCCTGCTTTACAATTCCGGAGTCAATATGCACAACCTTACGGAAACCATCTGAAAAAGATTAAAAATTTAGATGACTAAAACAGACAAAAAGCAAAAAAGTTTCCCTTTTCTTTATCAACCTAATGGGAAAAATGGTTTAATCAGTGGTTGATAACCGTACTCCAAATAAACTATTGCCCGTACTCACACATATTCAGTTGCCTCACAAAGCTTGCCATATTATTGTGCTTGAAATATTTGGGAAGAATTTCTTTTGCAAATCTTTGTTCATCCAAAACCAGAAAACTCTGGCCATTCTGAAAAAGAGAGAAAAAGTCAACTGAAGTCCTCTTAGGTGATACAATATGAACCCCAAAACTGGGCAGTCTTTCCATGATACTTTTAGATCCACATTTTATTCCTATTAACAGCAACAAGAAACAAACTATAATTAACTGCCAAACTGTAATTAAGCTTTCTGATGTCAACCTCAGAAGTTCAGAAGTATGCCTAAAACCAAAAGCTGCATCATACACTATGGTGAAATATTAGAATTTCCATTAAATCAGAAACAAGAAAAGAAATACTATAAGTAAGCAACATAATTATTTAACACTGTTTTAAAACCAATGCAATTAGACAAAAATAGACAAAATTTAAGAGGAAGTTATATTTATCATTATTTGCAACAGACATATCTTTGCACAATCAACTGAAAAACTGTAAAAAAAAGTTTCAATAAAATATCAGGTTAATAATTAATATTTAAAGTCACTAGTGTTTTTCCTATAAAAAAAATTTGAAACTTACTATAATACAGTATCAAAACAGCATGGTACTGGCATAAACACAGAGAGACAGACCAATGGAACAGAATAAAGAACCGCCAAATACACCCTTACATAGAAGGTCCAAAGATTTTTGACAAGAGTACCAAGACCATTCAAAGGGGAAAGGAGAGTTTTCAACAAACAATGCTGGGAAAAATGGATTCTCACATGCAAAAGAACAAAATTTACCTTACACCATATATAAAAATTAATTCAAAATGGATCAAAGACCTAAACATAAATGCTAAAATTATAAAAATAGTAGAAGAAAACATAAGGAGGAAAAGCTTCATGACACTGGATTTGGCAATGATTTCTTCGTTAACATCAAAGGCACAGGCAACAAAAGCAAAAACAGACCACTGATGCTACCTCAAACTTAAAAACTTGTGCAAAGAACACTATCAATAGAGTGAAAAGGCAACCCACAGAATCAGAGAAAATATTTGCAAACTGTTTAACTGATAAGGGGTTAATATCCATAATAAAGAACTTCTACAACTCAACAACAAAAAAGAAACAACCCAATAAGAAATGAGCAAAGGACTTAAACATTTTTCCAAAGAACATATACAAATGGCTAATAAACGCATTAAAAATGCCTAACATATCACTAACCATTAGGGAAATGGAAACCAAAACCACAATCACCACTTCATACCCCTTAGGATGGGAATTATTTTAAAAAAACACCAAATAAATTGAAAATAAGTGTTGGAGGAATTGGAGAAATTAGAACATTGCTGGTGGAAATGTAAAAAATAGTGCAGCTGCTATGGAAAACAGTATGGTGGTTCCTCAAAAAACTAAACACGGAATTACTATATAATCCTGCAATTCTATTTCTATGTATAATCCCAGAGAACTGGGCAGGTACTCAAAAAGATACTTGTATACCTATGTTCATAGTAGCATTATCTGCAATAGTCAAAAAGTGGAAGCAACACAAATGTCCACTGACAGATGAACAGATAAACAAAATTTGGAATATACACACAATGAGTACTCAACCTTAAAAAGAAAGGAAATTCTGTCAGGTGCTACAACATGGATGAACTTTAAAGACATTATGCTAGGTGAAATACACTAGCCACAAAAGGACAAATACTGCACTATTCTACTTATATGAGGTATTTAGAATAGTCTAATTCACAGAGACAGAAACAGAATGGTTATTAGGGGCTAGGAGGAAGGAGGACTTGGAAGCTATTGTCTAATGAGTATGAGGTTTCAGTATGGAAAGGTGCAAAACATTTTGGAGAGAGATGGTAGCGATGGCTGCATAATAATGTAAATGTACCTAATGCCACTGAACTGTATACTTAAAGCTGGGTAAAATGGTTAATTTTATGTTAGGCGTATTTTACCATAACAATTTAAAACTAAAGTAGAATAAAAGATTCCAATAATAGAAAAAATATCACATATCTAAAGATAAATCTTAAAAATATACAGGACATTTAAGAGAATATTAAACTATAGAGGGACAAATATAGTACTATAAAGCTGTCAATTCTAATTAACCAATATATTCGCAATAAGTTCTCAATCAAAAAAATTTCTGGACAGGAGGTGAAGAGATGCTAACACAACCAAATATTAGGGATCAAGTGTAGTATCTGTTCTTATCAGTTTAAAGCTCACTTGTAAAATAATTATGTAACAATAGGCAAGAAAATACTAAAAACAATGAAAAAAGAGGTGTTAACCCTATCCTATAAAAGTGGTAAAATTATAGTGTTTACAAAGTTTCGTACTAAAGAAGGGATAGTAAAAAATAAATAAATAGATTAGAGAGACAGAAGCAGCAGCAAATCTATTTGAGAATTTTTAACAGGTAATAAGTACATGTAACATTCAAATCAGGGGGGAAAATGAGGAGAAAAAAGATTATTAGTTCATGAACTCTCCATTTGGAAAGCAAAAAGCAAAAGCTCAATGCTAACTCACTGCTCAATTACTCTTTACAACCGACCTTTTGGAAGTATGATGTAAACCTAGAAGTCATACTGGTAAGTGGTAAGAATTTATATTTATTCATGGAAGCTGCTAGCTGCCTACCCTATTTCCAAATTCCTCTACTTACCTTTTTTATTTTTGTTATTTTAAAACTAAAATAGCGTATTTTAAAGGTGTACAGCATGATTTAATATATTTACATAAAGGACTACTACAGTCAAGCTAATTAACATTCCATCTCCATCAAGTTAAAAAGCTTCTGTAGAGCAAAGAAAACAACAAAATAAAAAGAAAACCTAACAGAATAAGACTATTTGCAAGCAATATATCGAATAAGGGATTAATAATCCAAATATGTAAGGAACACATACAACTCAACAGCCAGGAAAAAAAAAAAAAAAAAAAGACACCGATTAAAAAAGAACCCAAATATGGGGCGCCTGGGTGGCTCAGTTGGTTAAGCGACTGCCTTCAGCTCAGGTCATGGTCCCAGAGTTCTGGGATCGAGCCCCGCATCGGGCTCCCTGCTCGGCGGGAAGCCTGCTTCTCTCTTTCCCACTCCCCCTGCTTGTGTTCCCTCTCGCTGTCTCTCTCTCTCTGTCAAATAAATAAGTAAAATCTTTAAAAAAAAAAAAAAAAAAAACCCAAATAGACATTTTTCCAAAGATACAGAAATGGCCAACAGGTGTATGAAAAAGTGCTCAACATCACTAATCATCAGGGAAATGGAAATCAAAACCACAATGAGGTACCCACTTCATATCTGTTAGGATGGCAATTATTAAAAAAATAAAAAATAACAAGTGTTGGCGAGGATGTAGGGAAAAGGGAACTTTCATATACTGTTTGTGGTAATGTAAATCAGTATAGCCCTTACGGAAAACAGCATGAAGGTTCCTCAAAAAAATAAAAAATAGAACTACCACATGATCCAGCTACCCCTTTCTTGGGTATACATCCAAAGGAAATGAAATCAGTATTTCACAGAGGTATCTATGCTCCCATGTTCATTGCAGCATGATTCACAATAGCCAAGATATGAAAACAACCTAAGTGTCCCTCAATGGAAGAATAAAGAAACTGTGATACACAAACACACAATGGAACATCATTTAGCCTTAAAAACAAAGAGATCCAGGGCGCCTGGGTGGTTCAGTTGGTTAAGCGACTGCCTTCAGCTCAGGTCATGATCCCGGGGTCCTGGGATCGAGTCCCGCATCGGGCTCCCTGCTCGGTGGGAGGCCTGCTTCTCCCTCTCCCACTCCCCCTGCTTGTGTTCCCTCTCTCGCTG